AGCTTGTAGAAACAGACAATTGAAATGCTGCTACATTTGCTGGGGCAACTGGTATTTATTCACTTATGCTGATGCAACCACCACTATCACTATTAGCAGTTCTCTGCTTCTCAGAGCTTGGGTTCATCTTTTAGAACCAGTGTGAGATCCATTGTGATTTGCAGGATAAACCATTTAGTTACCCATTTAAGAAGTGCCTGAGGAATCCTTCTCCAGACACCCATCTCCCAAATCCCTGCTCACCCTTTTAGAGAGCTATTCATTCCCACTTTTCTTTCAACGGGAGTGCATTTATTACTAGTTAAGATCTATTTTAGATGGAAGGAAGGACAGCCTGTGACCTGATAGGTCTTTTCCATTTGCAGTATAATGATAAATATGCCTCTGATGTTCAGCCTTGCTTCCTCTGACTGCTGCTTTGTGGCTGGAAACTAAACAGATGCAGCAGTGGCCATGCACACACACTGTGATTCAGGAAAGAACGGTAATCCTGCACTAACCGGTACCTGGTGGTCCCTGGAGCTGAGCTGGCTTCTGTGTTTGGAGCAGCCAGGATGCCCCTGAAGCAGGATGTGTCCATGCCTGGGGTCATTTTGGTGGCTTGCACTTCACCCTCCCCTAGCTGACAGGCACTCGGTTGGGTGTTCCCGGAAGCAAAAAGGCTCACATAAGTCAAGACAAAACTCATTCACTAGAGTCAGCGTCTGACATAAACTGCTTGCATCGATGCTCAGAGGTTAGTGAGCAATGTTCTGCGGTAGAGAGGGGAGTTTTCAATTGCTGTGTGGCTGGGTCTCTGCCTGCACCGGTGACACAGGGCAAGGCTCTATTCTAGCTCAGGTTTGATCTGTTTTAGAACATCATGATGAAAACACTTACACACTGAACACACAGTTATGCTTTCTAGCCCAGGCACAAATGAGTGCAGAGGATGGGAGAGGTTTGCTGGTGGCAGGCAGTGTGGAGACAGGTTAGGGCTCCTGCTAGCTGCTTTCAGGACATACGGCACGTTTGCTCTGGACTGCTTGGGGCCCTCTTGTTTCCTCATTGCATTTTGCTACTTGCTTCTGACATTTCCTTTTCTTCCTGATTTTAAGGCTAAGGCTATTGCTTTGTGCATAATTCATTAGATTTGTCCATGTGTCAGATCTTTCAGTTATGCCTTGTGCTCTGCAAAGACATGTTGCATTGTTATTTTTATTTTAATGTCTCTCACTGATCTTGTACCATACATAGATTAGACTGCTGTCTGGGTTTTAAGTATATCCAGTCAGTGGCTTTAATGGTGGTTTTTATCATAGGAATAATAAAAGTGAACGTAACATGTTAAAATACGAAGCCATTTACCTGTGAAGTTCAACCTTAAGGGCATTCTCTATTTTCTTTCTCTTTCCAAACCAAATGCAATATGTGTGAGAAACCAGCAGCCCATCTGTATTCCAATTTGCATGCTCCGAGGTAGAGAGAAGCATGATGTACTTCTCTGAGATTGGAAAATTACTCTCTAAAAGCAAATTAAGTAACTAATAGCCTGAGGGATCACTTCATAGGTGAAAGGATTTCTGTCATTGGGAATCGGATGTATTTGCATTATTCCTCAGTGGCTTACAATTTGTATACGTATTTGTATAATATAAGCTTTCTAGAGACATTACTTTGCTGTGGGTTAATTTGGTAAGTAAATGTTCTTTGTGGTATGGTGGTATGTAAGACACAGAACAGGCACGGTAAGCACTTGGAACTCAGTGGCAAAAGGAAGGAGTTCCTTTTCTGTTCTTTGTGGCCAGTACCTAAAAATGATCTGTGGGCCCCTGAGCTAACTGCTTGCACCTACCACCTGCACCTGTAAAAGGGAACCTGCCTAATTCCTCCTGCCAAAGAGGGGGTCTTTCCCTGAAAATGTATTATTTTAGCACCAGCTCTTCCAGCAGTGAATTGGAACATGGGGAAGCCCTGGTCCATGTTTCCATCCAGAGGATGTTGGAGGAACAGGTGATACGAATTCGTACGGTTTCCAGGGAGCCGAGGGAGGTTAGCTCCCCCACTCACACATCAAGGTAGGCTTCTAAAGCTTCTAAAAATATCTCCCCTGCTGAGGAAGAGCTTGATCACACCAGGTGCCAAGCAGCTCGTAGAGGGGGCGATTGCTTCCAGTTCTCAGTATATTAAATAGCTATTTTTAATGAATCAGAGAAAACAGGAGCTCGGGGCTAGATGATACCTGAGGGGTCATGGAGCACACCTGCCTCCCCTGGGATAATGTTTACAGGTGTTGCCCTAATTGAAGCATCTGTTTGTATCACAGATGTTTAGTTATTTGAGGAGGATTGACAAAGGCCTGCAATAGACTGCTTTTAGGTTAGCTGCCCCTTAGGCTGCTGTGCGGAGGGCAGCATCGCAGGTGGGGAGCGAGGAGCTGCTTAGGGCAGCACTTCCCAGGCTGATGCTCCCTGGAAAGTACCTTGTTAGTCCCAAGCTTTCCCAAGTGCTGTTTCCCTGGGGTATTTCAGGGCTGTTTCACCTTTCCTGCTTAAGCAATAAAAATGATTTATTTTTCAAAAATCAATCCGAACCGCCTGAAGAAATTTTTTTAATATTCTGGAACATCCTCTGCCCATATCATTGGAAACGATGGGTCTTGGGACCCTGTCTGAACCAGCTCCTTCATGCCCAGACACCGCACATCATAGTTAGATAAGCACTTTGAAGAGAAGTGAGAGTTAATTCTTTATAGCTTGCTGTGTGATGGCAAACACGGACACCTAGTGGAACTCGAGTGCAGGGCATGTAGATGCTTTAAATTTATCTCTGGAAGAGAAGTAGATATAGCAGAGTGTTTGTTTGCATGTTTTCCCCTAAAAGAAGGAGAGAGTTGATTATTTTCGGAGAAAGTATCATAGATATCATAATGTGGGGGAAAGAAAATTTACTTGGCAAGGAATAGTGAAAGAATTAGGGGCCAATCATCACAATTGGTAAGATTTGTCAGTGTATTTACAAAGAAGTAGTCAGGTTTTTTTCTTGTGTCTTAAATATCTCATACCATACCAGATCAGATACCATATTGGATCAGAAAGATTTTCTACTCCTAAATTAGTCCATAGCAAAGAAATTTCAGTAAATATTATAGCAATATCTTATTCTTTCCATACCTGTGAATGTTTGTACTCCAGTTTTGGGGAGATTGTGTCAGTGTGATGAATGGTGATAAACTGCATAGCTAGGTGCTAAACTGATCTCTTGTGCCCTTTCATAAACCCACTGAGCTCTTTCTGCCAGGATTAATGTGAGCACTCTGTCTGAATGGCCTCGAACAGCTGCCATGGTTTGTTTTGTTTGTTTTTTCTATTTATTTACAAATAATCTTTCAGAGAAATATTTCCTTCTTCTTCCCCAAATCTAGCATTTCGTCTACGGCAGAGACACAGGACAGGTGAGAACCAGTCCTTGTCCACGGACCCCTTTCTGTATTTGTAAATATCACCTCTGTGAATGGGATTTCTTTCACACCTGCATTAAACACACAAACCACTATGCCACTGAGTGGGGAGACAGGCTGTTCCCGTGGGAGTGTGCATTCAGGGCTGCTTGGGCTAAGATAAGGGATTTTGAGATTGTACCAGCTGAAGAGTGAAGTCTGTAGAGATGAGTGTGCTCTCCTCAAGCGCTCCCCCATCCAAGCTGATAACTAGATCCCAGTTCTCATTGATTTCACAGAGATACTCAGCATCTTACAAGATTTCTCCCAATTCAGATGGATTTAGAAGTTGTTCTTTTAAAAACATTTTATAATATGCTTGGGTTTAGCTTCATATTCTAAGAAATAGGTTTATGGTATTACACTGTTTTGAATCAGCTTGTTTACTATTCTCATCTTAATAACTTTTGAATCAGTGGACTAATTTCTATCAAATTTGACACTGGAGTAAGGACCTTCAGGGAAGCAGGCAGCACGTAGAGGAGAAAGACCCAAAAGAGGGCCCCTAATGACAGGCAGACAGCAAGAAATCCACACTGCAGAGGAGCATTAAGAAAGATTCCTCACACCAGAAAAACTTAGATTTGTGCTCACACCTTTTTAGACACCAGGAAAGAACCTCTGATATCCAAATCTGTAAGAAAACAAGCTTCATTAGCTCTGCTCCTTGTGCAATCACTTCTTCTGTTTTGTTCTGCTGTATACACAAGCACTTACATATCCGGCCTCTGGTTATATAGAGACTATGATTAAACAGAGACCAGGATTGTTCATCGAGAGTCGCAGGGTGCGAGGCTGTGAGGCTGAAGGAAAGCAGCAGGTTGCCAGCGCTCAGTACGGAAGTAAGACGATACATTTATTCTTAGATACAAATCCTGGAAGTCAGCATATAATCAATCACTCTATGTTTATATATTTACACCTCTGTTTTCCATCAGGGAGCATGGGAGAAGCTTTTCCGCTCTGCCCAGTCAGGATTCCCTAGTCTCCCAAGAGGTCCCTAGAACGAGTTTGGGAAGATGAGGGCGTGTTTCTTGTCCTGCAAAAAGATTGTAGCCGTTTCCTCACTGCACTGGTGGCATGTGGGAATGTGTCTAACTCATGCTGTAGAGGGGTGAGCTGGAATTTGTTCTGCCATGAGGGCACAGCGCTGAGGCAGCCTGGGCTATTGCCAGTCTAGAAAGTCACCCCAGAAACTAAAGCAAGAAAAAAAAGCAAGGTTTCTGATGGATACCCACAGCTAGAAAATTCACAGAGAGAAAATTCACCCACAGCTAGCATTCAAAAGGTTACTGGGTGGGTAGCTTTGATTTCACACTTCAGCCCAGCAGAATCAATAAGAAGTAAAGGAAACCAGGGCCACGACATGTTGAACTTTGACAAAAGAAATGATTAACTTGGCTTCTAAGGAATACACATCCTGTCTTTGCCAGTGTAAATATGATGCAAAGATGATTGCCTTCATCCTGCCCTCTCTAACTTCTGTTCCTGTTCTTTTTTTTTTTCTGTTGAACCTGGGCAGTTGTCTGGAGGGTGTGAACTAACCGTGGTGCTCCAGGACTTCACAGCAGGCCACAGCAGCGAGCTGAGCATTCAGGTGGGGCAGACGGTGGAGCTGCTGGAGAGGCCAAGCGAAAGGCCGGGCTGGTGTTTGGTCCGGACCACAGAACGGAGCCCGCCTCAGGAGGGTCTGGTCCCCAGCAGCGCTCTCTGCATTTCCCATTCCCGCAGCAGTGTGGAGATGGATTGCTTCTTTCCTTCAGGAAAAGGTAGGTAACAGTCCGGCAGGTTTAAGACTGTTTCGGATTTCCCCTTTTGTATCATGTAAGTGCCAAGCTGCTTGGGCTGCTCTTGCAGTCGGCGTGGGTAAAAGACTGTTTAGTCATTAGTGAGTTTTGTTACCGGATGTCTGTGAATCGGCATAGCGCTAGCCTAACTCCATTTCCATGAATCAGTGTTTGTACATGTGCGTCTTTTGCTATGTGGCAATCATTATTGTCTTGAGATTCTGGGTAAAAATAAGATCTTTAAACAACAAAGGGACTGGTTTTAGTGCCTAAAAGCCTAGAGGGAGGGAAGGTCATGTTGTATATACACCCAGGACGACCCAAATTGTGGATATGTTACTTTATGAGTGCCACAGTGCACACTAGCGCATGGTCTTTTAGTATATCTCTGCTGCCTGTCTATTATTGCAAACAAGCCACCAGTGAGTACTGGTACACTCTATTGACTCGTGAACGGAAGACATTGTGTGTAATGGCACAGCACAATGGGGAAAGAACCCTTTAAGATTAGTGTGCAGTAAAACACATCCCTGGTATTGTCCTGAGAGCTTGGGCTTCACCTGCAATGAATGGTGAAATATTGTTTGTCTCTGTGGTGTCTGTGGCCTATTTAGTTGATGTTCTGTTCTAAGCAATGTGTGTCCCGCATATAGCATCCATGCAACCAGGCATAGGAGATGCTCCAGACTGATAGTTCAGAACCAGTTCAGTTCCGCGTGGCCGGAGCAGGTCTCCTTTTGGCCACTCACAACGCAAGTAAGGTCCAGGGAGGAAAGGCTCCTGTCATCCCACACCTGACCTCAAGCCCGCAACCTGAACTGGCTTTTTAAAAATTTTTTTCCATCTGCATTAAAGGAAATAGAATTTGATCTGTTCTTGTTTGAGCAAGTTAAGTTTGGTGGGTTTGTTTGTTTTGAGAAAAAGCATTGAAACTGGGCTGTAGTCCGTCCTCGCTCCCTGCCTGCACTCCCACTGCGGAGGCTGGGAGTGGGGCACACCCCCAGGACAGAGCAGCGCGGTAGGGCCGGGGTCTGCAATCAGTTTCCCTTAAAGAGCCGTCTGATCCAAACCTGGGGGAGGAGAGCTCAGCTTTTCCTCTCAGATTTGATCCCCTCAGCAGGTCTCGTTCGGTTAGGTGCTTCCCCTTGCCCTGCTTTGCAAGAGAGAGGAGGTGAAGTCAGTGCTGGCTGTCAGCTCTGTCTGCCGTGCAAACTCCAAACTCGTCACGCGCTTCTTAGACCTGCTGCTGACTTTCCTCCCTGCCTCATGCCCGGGGCCCTGCCCTGCTTCTGCTCCCACAGGAGCCTTTCCTGGTCTTCAGCTGTCCTCTGAGAAGCTCTGTAGTTGTTTACATGCAAATTAAATCTGTGAATAAACAGAAAGATAAAGCTGAAAATCAGCCTGGTCTGCATAAGAGCAGTCACTGCCTGACATGACTCATAGGAAGCCAGAGATGTGTCTGCTGGGTGCATGGTCCAGCAGTTGGGCTTGGGTCCTCTGCTGAAGGATGCTGTGAGACACCACTCAAACCTCATTCGAGTGCCCTAGGTTGAAGAGTTTCTCCTCAAACGCAGCAAAACAAAAAAATTGCAGGAGCAGGCTGTGGAAAGGGAGGCAGGAAATCCCGAGGAGGATGGAGACAGGGTGGTGCAGGGGCTGAGGGCTGGCAGGGGACATGGGGACTCTGCTTTCTGCACGATTGCGTGAGCTTCAGGGCACAACTGCACAGCAGGTACGGCGTGACGGGCACAGTGCCAGGCTGCGGCTGGTGGACCAGAGCCGACTGATGTCTGGAAGCCACCAGGCTGCATCAGCACAGCGCCAGGCCTGTGCTAGCACGCTTTGCCTGCCTGTGCGGCAGGCTATCTCACGTAACATGCTGCAACCACTTCCAGGTTGGAGCTGGCTCTTGTCCCATCATCTCCAAACAGGTGCAGAGTGAGTCTGGGGCCAGCTGGCTCCAGCCATGTATTCATGCCCTTTATTTACATATATCTCTTTCCCCTTCGGCCTCAGTTTTCTTCCTGCATATACCAAAGCTGCATCAAGGAGCCTCAGTATTAATGGGATCTCCAGAAGTGCTGCTAGAAATAATAAAAATAACCACCCAATCCACAGTTTTGGCCAGAGTACAGCAAATAGGTTCTGTGTCTAATCAGTTCTCCCTCTATTAGGAAAACAGGAAATTGTTTAAACTGAATGAACAGATGTTGGGAATAAAGAAAGAGGGGTAAGTTTAAAATTTAAAGGGGAAAATGCAGTAGCCACTGGAAGGGCCTGCTGATGTCATGAGATGCTGGAAGGATTAGCATGGTAAATGGCTTCTGACTATTCAGATTCGTATCCTCCTCTACTTCCAGTAGCTTTAGGCCTGGGTTGGACTCGGAATCCTTTGGTCCAGGCTTCCAAAATTTCTGGCCTTTCTCTACAACCCAGAACAAAGGCTGGCACATTTTATATCAACATCAAATGGTGTCCCCTGTCTGTTTCAAGTATGTAAACATACACAGTTGCAGAAAAGCAGGTTAATAATTCTTTGCTTTTACAAGCACTGTAATTTCAAGAACAGAAAGTATCTATGCTCAAAACTTAACATTTCTAATAATAGAATTTGCCATCTATGATAGAAACATGCAGAGTTTTGACAAGTATTAAAACATGGTTACATCTTCTTAGTGGGAAATGGCAAATTACTGTGTTTGGTCCTATTATAAGTTATGGTGGACTATAAATGTAAATCATATGGCTCACAGAAGCTACCTACCATCCTTAAAATGAAAGAGTAAAGAAAGTAATATGTCAGCCAACACCTGAACAGATGAAGGCTTGAAACATTTGGTGGGATCACCAGAACATTTGGTAGAGCATCAATGCAAGTCCACATCAAACAAAAAAAAAAGCCTTTTTAAACAGTCTCACTGGAAGCTACTGGAAATGCAAAACCAAACTTCACAAATGAACATGTGCTCTGGCTTTTCGTCACCTTTTTACACTATTCCTTTGAAAATAGGTAATGAGTGAACATAAAATATTGCAAAAGGAAAAACGTGGTGCGAATACAAGAGAACAAACCTGAAATAGAACACTTCGTACCTTTTGTAATGAATATCTTTACAGATTTCTCTTGTTGTTGATCAGTAAAAGTGCAGAGACTTTAAGGACTGGACTCCCAGTCTTCTGTCTGACTGCTGGCTGTGTTCCTTTCAAGGATACACGTTTGATTTTTTCATGACTTGACTACAGCTCAGAGCCCAAGTATAGTCCTGCCTGTCCTTCCTTTCCAATAATCTGACAGCGTTTGCAATTACCTTCTGTAAAAAGGCAAACAGATTTCTGGGATTCACCTTTTTGCAAGTGATTTACAGATGATTGAGTAAAAGGAACTCATCTGCAGTCTCTGTTACTGTACTTGAGAATTTGTGGGATGTTTTTTTTTCTGACTAGCGTTCCTAGGAAGGAAAAAGAAAGACCTGTGACACTGGGAATGAAGCTCTGCTTGAACTTTCCCACATGGCTAATTACAGGAAAGCTGTGACTTTTATTCCTGTCTCTTTTACCCTATAATTGAGCTCTAAGGTATTAAGTTACAAATTTCAAATTAAGAGAGAAATCTACATGGATAGAAAGCAATTTAATGACCTAGCCAATATTCATTAAGCACACTGCGACAAGCATATTCCTGGTGTCAGCCTGTTAGCTTTGAATGATTCCAAATTTGAATTTGGCCCATGAAACATTTCATCTGAAATCTTGATCTTATGACCCCTCACCCAGCATTTTTCTTGTAACATAAAAGTCACAGTGTAATTCAAAGAGTAACGAAGGCTAGTTCTTGCAGTAATTTTAAGCAACCTCCATCACCTAAGAAAGCATTAAAAAAAAATAGGGATTTATGGCACTTGTTTTGGACTGATGATATGCGAAGGGATCACGTTCAGGGCCCCAAACCAGATCCTGCCTGCAGGATGCTTGTGTCTGGTACATATCTCTGGAGGAGATGAGGAATATATTTTATTAAGATGCTATGCAAACATCTAGCTGTGCAGGCAGATGGCCACTTAACAGCAAGGCTTTGGTGGCAGTGGTGGGTCCTTGTAACAGAGCAAACTGAGAAATAGTTGGGTCTCTTCCAACTGAAGAGGGAACATAGGTCTCGCAAGGTATATGTTAGCAGGGTGAGCATCTCGTCTGCCCTTCCCAGCTGGGTCACATTGGCCCTAGCGCATCAGCTGGGAGAGCACCAGACTTTGGGCAGGAGGGACAGGAGTTTCTGTGCTGCTCAGGTGACAGCTTGTACATTTAGGGGGTTGCCCACCGGCTCCTACAGCCAGAGAGAGCCTGTGGCTGGTAGGTGCGATGGCAGGCTGGGCTGTGGAAGAAGGAAGCAGAATAAGGATTTAACAAGGCTGGTGAGAAGAAGAATAGTATCAATGAAAACAAGGTCACGCTAAGACCTGTATTTTTGTGACCACTCCTTGTGGGAAAGAGCAGATCATTTAATGGATTAATGTGCAAAGCCAGTGAGGTTAATCCGGCTCTTGTTGGGCTTGGAAGTCTCTTTCCTCCAGTCCCTGCTCTCAGAAGAGCGATCTATGGAGGGAAAAGCATAATTGTTTCTTCCCATGTCTCTGTTTTTAAGAACATCTTGGATTTTAGTGGGGGAAAAGAGTCTAGGCTGCTTTTATTGTGTCCCTGTTCCTGTTGAGTATTGAATTGCGATCTGCATTGGCTCATGCACTTTCTCCGTTGTGTTTTAAACAATCTCTGTTGCGAAACATTTTCGATGGTAATGATTCCTGATGTCCCAGGGGAGCTGTGTGAGGACAATTCAGAAGTTTAGTGCACTGCATTAAACCTTCAGTTGTCCTTGTAGAGGCTAAGAAATTATTTTTGTTTTTGAAAGTCTTAATTAAGAGCAGTCGATTGAAATGTTTGTAAGGCTCTGAACTAAAGGAAGCATTTCATTAGGTAACACAGTTAAT